CACACACACACCCCTATAATGGCTCATTACTTCTGGTAGAACGTTGGTTGCTTTTTGTTGTAGTAAGGAGAACTGAAGTTGCAGACAGACAGTAAATGCAAAATTAAGCCAGTTACAGCCCTTAGATTTTATAGTCCATAGGAGAGGGCTCTTATGAGTGTACAAGTTAATCTGTTTTCCAGGGGAAAGGGGGGTGTCGGATCCTCATTCAGGGCCATCACCCCCAACAACTAATATTATTCTTCTAATACTACCAGAAGTCTTTATGAGCATCACAAGAGTAAAAGATTCCAAAACCAGATCTCAGGGGATCTTTAACAATTTAAGTCAATATGCCTATGAGGAGGTGAGCTAACCAAACTACAGGTCTTACTACCCTACACAGTGCTTCAGTCCTGTTTAGCTTCCTGATGCTTTTAGGCCCCATAGTTGGTTGCTGAATTCCACGCTCCAAAAAAGTAGTGATTAAGGACAAGGCAAAATCTAAAACTGATTTCATTTCGTTTAAATTTAATTAAAGATAAGCATAGTTAATGTAACTGCCCCCATGAATTTTGCTATTTACAATTCTGTCATATTAAAGATTACGACTTTGGTCATTCTTGGAGGCTTCATTTCAGCAGGCAGCAAGACCTAGCTAACCTTGGCTGATCTTGATAGAGCTAAGCAAGCTCAAACCTGGCTAGTACTTGGAGGGGGGATCATCAGGAAATAGTAGGGATGTAGGCTAGAGTGACAAATTGAAAACACATACCAGAAAATATAATAAAACTACTTTTGTATTATTGCTAAGAAAACTATATGGACATGCCCATGCAATCCCCAATTGTACTCGATTGAAGGCTATTTTTACCACCATCATCACTACTACCCCACCCCAGTTTCTGGGGATTACAACCCAGTCTTTCAGGAGCTACATAGAGTCTTAAGATTTCCATCTTGTACTGTAGTTTAATCTGTAAGAGGCCTACAGCTAGTGGTTTCAGCTAGATTTCATTTGGAGCTGTCCAAGGTCCTGTTTTCATTTGCCCTTCGTGCAGAAAGACTTTTGCCTTGATTTTGCTTATCTCAACTGATTTTCATTGCCAATTTAACATTGTCATCTTGACTGGAATATGACTGCCTAGATTTGATATGACAGCCTGAACTGATTCTACAGGTATACAAATATCTGTCTGCTCTGTGTTTTCTTTTTCTGCTCTAGATGAAAACAAATGAATTAAAAGTAAGCAATGATTATGTTTTGCAACAACATTAAATTACTAGGATGGTTAAAACACAAAGGGGCAGCAAAGAGTTACAAATTTCTCTTCAGGCTTGGGGAAATGGGAATAAAATAGCAGACTTCCTGTGAACTAAGACAAATGATGGGTATTAGGCAAAAAAAAAAAAATTCCCAATTTTGCATAAAAGCTCTTGGTGGCTCAATTGGCAGTAAGTGACCCAAAAATGGGATCTTGGAGTTTTATTTGTATCTGAATAAAAATGTCAGTTTGGTGCAGAAAAAAAGGCAGAATCTATGTTTGCACTCATCAGGAAAGGAATTGATAATAAAAGTGCCAGAATCATAATGCTT